CCGATGGGAGGCCGAGGCCAGCTGCACCCTGTAACCCTGCCTTGATCTCTCCTTGCAGGAGCAGCCAGGGCTTCATGCACATGAAACTGTCCCGGACCCAGGAGAACAAGTACGTGCTGGGTCAGCACAGCCCGCCCTTCGACAGCGTGCCAGAGATCATTCATCACTACGCCAGCCGCAAGCTGCCCATTAAGGGGGCTGAGCACATGTCCTTGCTTTACCCGGTGGCTATCCGCACCCTATAGTCCTCACCCACCACGAGCCAGGCTCGAGGCTGGGTGCACCGGAAACTGGCCCATCCGCAGGGCCAAGTGCCACCGTGCGAAGGATGGGCTCCGGACCAGCAGCATACGAGCAGCTCGCTGGGCACAGCTGGTGCTGTTGGGGATTGCTGCAGCCGGACCCTTCGTCCTGCTCTCTCGGGGGGCTCCCGTGCCCTGGTTTGCCCACTGGGACAGCGCCGGGGGGACCCCCTGCGCGAGGACCTGAGCAGGGCTGGCCAGCTGGCCACTGCCCTCGCCTGCCTCTGGGCAGAGCTCAGGATGCAAGGACTGGAGCTGGGGCCTTGGAGAGGCCTGGGGGGGGCGATGTGCAGGAAAAGGGGGAGAAATCATCTGTTAAGAGGCCTGAGATGCCTCCATAAGGGTGCCTGGCTCTGCCCACGAGAGATAAAATGGCTGTGCCTGCAGGTGAGGGGGCTAGCGGGGGCCTGCATGGGGCTAGCAAGGCACAGGGGGCCAGTCCAGTGGTGGCTTCCACCTGCACGGGTGCTCGGTACTTGCTGCCATCTTTTGCCAAATGTAAATAGTGACCAGTCGTGGCCACGTGTGCAGCACCGCTGCCTAATAAAGCGGTGCATGGTTGCCTGCCGCTCCACGGGGACCGCGTGCCCACCACCTTGAGGGGGGGATTGGTGTGGCAAAACGGCAGGCAGGGTGGGATTTTATTACACAACAGCTCTAAGCGATTTGATTTTTCCTTTGCTCTTCCATACACTGAGCCCCGTGTGCCCGAATGGTCTGGCCAGCTCACTCGTCGGAGATGCAGGGGACAAGGGATGCCAGCGGTCACCTCCTCGCTATGCCTTTGGGACGCTTTGCGGGCAGCAATGAGCTGATTTTGGACTTGCCTGTTACTCCCTGTAGAAGGGGGTACTCTTGGGGATCTTATGCCTCCTTGTTTTCCTTTGCCCCTCGTAAGTCTTGGGCAGAATCCCTGAATTTCACAGATCGCCTGTTCTCCTCCTCTGGGTATTTAGTGGCTCCAGTCCTGTTCTTTGTCTTCTTGACACCTTGTCTTTGGGCCAGCTTTGCTCCCTCTTCATGTGGCTGAAGCTGCATCTGGCGCTCTGTAGCGTTTAATGCATACCTTGCCTTTTAACCGTGCTCCTGGTGTTGGTTGCTACTGTACCCGCGCACATAAGTTTCCTCCATCCGTGCTTCAGACTAAGCTCAGTCTGGTTGTTATCCCCCCCTCCGCTCCCCTCATGGTCCTGCTGTGCTCAGCAGAGGGGATGGCAGTGGCAAAATTCACTGCTGGACCTGTAAAACCTTTTGCATCAGCGGAGCAAAGCGCTTGGGGAGTTGGTGGGATGTGTTAGCGGTAGCTTGATGAAGACTTTGTGAAAAAAGCATCATCCTCCCCACCGCCTGCTCCCGGCAAGGAACTGGTGCTGCAGGTTCGCTGGGGGGGGGGGTAAGGGGGGCCCTGCATGGGGGAGAGCTGCCG